TGTTCCCAAGGAAACCAGAACACTGACCACGCTGGGAGAGAGGCGTGGAATTTTGCCTTGTCGCTGGGGCTCTCCCAGCTGGTACAACAAGCGACTAGGGTACCTGATGTGGATGGGCACACAGCCAACTGCCTCGACATTCTGCTGATGATCGATTCAGACAGGTACGATGTTCAGGTTACCTTACCCTTGGGAACTTCTGACCACTGTCTGGTGAAATCTGTATCGTTATATTCCCCACCTAACTACGATTTTCACGGAGTGCGTTGAATGTGGCGATACAAGTCAGCAAATTGGGATGAGATGCGGCATTTCTTTCATCCTTGGCGGCAGGTCTGCTTCTCCTCTGAAGACCCGTCGAGCTGCGCGGATGCTATAACTAATGTGATACGTCAAGCGATGGAGTATTTTATCCCTTTTGCTGACGTGCCCAATGTGGTAAAGCTCGCTCATGGTATAACGCCGAGTGCGCTCGTGCTGAAAAATACAAGCATATGGTGTACTTATCCTGGGTCGATGCTCGTGACCGTAAAGCTCCGGATGTTAGCCTTAAGAAGAGAGCCTTTAAACAAGCCGCCAAGTCCTGCAAAAAGGCATTATGCCAAGCCAGTTTCAACCACATTAAACGCATCGGCACAAAGCGCTCTGTAAAACCATCTGGCAGTATAGCTTTTTGGTCTCTCGCCAAAGTGGTCGAGACAAACTTCTGTCGGTCAACACTGCCTCCGATGGTAAAATCAGATGGCTCACTGGGCCATGCACCTAAGGAGAAAGCGGACTTATTTGCTTCTCTTTTTGCGTGCAATTTGTGTTTGAATAGTAGCAACAGCGTACTATTATGTCCAACCCTAGTAGGTTAAAAGCGCTGACTCGATTATTTTATTTAGTTTAAAAGCGTAGTGTTTGAGGTAATCGAGGCAGTGCAGCTCCAACCCATATTAAGTGCATATCGCACACGCCGTTCGCGGCTTTTGTACATTTTTGTATTATTTTAATATTGGGGAAATAAACCAAAAGAACTTCTGGGATTGGGTGTAAAGTTTTTTTTTAAATACCTTCAGAGCGTAGTGGAAACCAACTTACAGCCTTAAAAATAGTTTAGATCTCATTTCCAAGATTAAAGATATCCGTACTCTGCCTAAACCCATGTTGTTATCTTTAGACGTTGATAGTCTTTTCACAAATGTCCCATCCTTAGACTGTTTGCGTATACTCGCAGATCTCTTTAATAAACGTCGTCTACATCCCGGGGAAACAAATGATCTTCTAAACTAACCTCTCTCTGTATGAAACAAAACTATTTCCAGTTTAATAATCACTTCTATCTACAAAAAGAAGGGCTAGCCATGGGTTCCCCTCTAAGTCCTCTTATGGCGGATATTTTTATGGATAATTTTGAAAAACAACACATAGTTGTCAATCAAAATATTTTATACTATTATCGATATATAGACGACATAATTATTTGCTGGACTGGCACAAAGAGGCAACTGGATGTTTTTTTTTTAATAAAATTAATAAAATCCACGACAAAATTAAATTTAAGCTTGAATTGGAACAAGATTGTGTCCTTAATTTCCTCGAGTTAACAATAACAAGGAAGGAGTCGTTACATGAATTTCAAATTAATCGAAAGCCAACTCTTACCGACACGGTCATTCCTGCGTCATCATGTCATCCGTGGAAAAATAAATTTGCCGCTTTTTATTGTTATGTTAATCGTTTGTTTACTGTACCGTTAAGTAAAGAAAATTATTTAAAAGAGCTTAATGTGATTTATCAAATTGCTGTCTCTAACGGTTATCAATGAGAGAGGGCACTACTGTGCCACGGTGTGGATCGAGTTCGTACATTATATTAACCCAGATGTTACTGTAACTATTTTTTGTTTCCGATCTTGGTGATATTCGGATATGATAGTTAAAATGACTCATAATAACGAGGAAAAATAGTAAAAAAAATTACATGTTTTCAGAAAAGCCGGAAAAGGGTGGGCTTTTAAAAGTCCCGTCGTAATATAGGGATTGTTTACATGTATGTGGCGGTCTAATAATAAAACAAACTGTTATTACGAGTATATTAGTTTTTTATTATTACGGTAAATTTTAACTATACAAAAGAAAATAGACATAGGTATAGCAAGTTATGTGATATGATGTCTCACAATAAAACAACAGCACTTCACTAAGTATATCACATTATGGTTCGGCTAGTTTAATAAGCAGCCGAAATTTCTTTGTTTATTTTGCTCTGAATACTCGCAACTGTTACACCAATGTTACTTTGGTTTGGATGTCCGTGTATTTCGCGGGTCGATGTGATTCTTGCGTACTATTGGTCCGTTAAAATTATGGACATCTTCCCGTCACGTGATCACATACTGTCAACGCCGCGCGTCGTGAGAAATGGCACGTTTTTTCGCTGCTCCCTAATATATGTTCCGCCGCAAGTTATTCCTCGAATTGGATAATCGTGAGTGACCGAAATCCGTGTAGCTGGGATCCCCGAAGAAGCGCACGAGAGCAGGAGCATCCGCCTTCGTATATTCAGGTACGTCCGACCTTAGTAATATTGTCTAGTTAACGGTATCGAGTAGAATCAGCCAGCGTCTATGCAAATTACAGTCCATTTACCATTTTCAACCAAAAATTGGTCCATCTCCCCGGATGACATTCGGATTGGAACTATTAAATAGGTAAATCCGATTGTGATTCGACTCTTCGACGTAATTGATACTGAACCTTATTGTGGCATACTTGGGTTGATGTCGACTATTTATACTGTTAGTTGTCGACTTGTAAATACTACTTAATATTGATGTATTTTCCGCATCGCATACAGCCGTTTACAAGATCGATTTTATTGTTTATTACGCATTGGTGGAGTCAAGATTACGTTATAGTATCTTATTTTGGGGGGGAAGCTTTAAATATAATGTACACAAAGCCTTTGTTCTGCAAAAAAGAGCAATCAGAACCATATAAAAGTCCGGATAAAAGCACAAGAATCGTGTCGCGAACACTTCAAAAGACTTGGGATCTTGACTGCTCCATGTCTGTATATACTGGTCTTACTCACGCAATTTGCAAAAGTTATTGGCGAATATGAGACGATAGACCAAAAAACCATAAGAGAAAACACTAGAAGAAAAGACTTTCATAATAAAATTGTCCCTCGTATGGTAATGACTAGACACTGTTCTCAATATCGATCAGTACTTTTATTTAATAGACTACCTACTGACTTAAAAAATATGTTATACAAGGATAGTTTCAAAAATACCTTAAAAAAGTTCCTACTAGAAAAATGTTATTATAGTGTTGACGAATTTCTACATGCTGATACTACAATATAATCTTCAATGTTTTAAAATTTTTGATGACATTTAAAAATAATCGTAATTTTTTTTATGACATAATATGTTATTATATTTTGTGATATTTTATACTTTATGTTCGCGCAAAACTCTGTTGTCGGAATCGACACCAGATGTCACTCGGCTCGGCGCGATTCCGGTTTGAAGTTCTTCCGAGCGTGGCGGTGGCGCGCGGGTCGCAAGCGAGTCAGTCATCGGCCGGATGTGCTAATGTTTGCACGCTGTTAATTTTGTGCGGGAACCGCGGAATAGTTAGGGCGTCTAGTAAATATCCTGTCTAGGAATTATAACGCGCATTCCCTGTTTGGATAGCCTTTCCCGGGACTTATTGGGTCCGACTCAGAATCTGTATAAGTGCATTCGACAATATAAGCTAGTGCGGCCTCTGATTCTAGAATTAACTATTGCTACGCGAAACGGTAGTGACCTTTGACCCAGAAACTCCGGGCGTGCTTTGTGCGGTAACCTTATACCCCGCGATAGTTAGTGGCTTCTGTAAGCTAGTTAATAGCACGATAGAGTTAAGTGACTGTCATCGTGGTGAACCAAGAAAGTGACTGTGGATAACCTCGAAAGGCCCCCTCAAGTTGGAGCGGTGTCGACGCTCGGGCTGCTGCCGACGGCTAAGGTCTAGGTTCAATCACCATCAGTCACACCCAGATACACACCACATCACCATTCTTTCCCTTGCACTACACAACCACATGCGACCTGACCGACTCCGGAGGGACCAGTCGCCTTGGATAGAGGTAAGTGAACTCCGCCAAATTCCTTCCGGTCGACTGGCCGTAGTATAACGCTCCCCCATATATTTTAGTGTAATTAGAGAGATTCCACGTGGCCTTAGGAGGCCCGACCTACGTTTGCTCGGGAAGTCTTCTGCTGATGGGCCCCAGGGGATTGGATCCTTTAAGGGAGCAACCGTAGGCCGTAACACTTTATTTTATTGACTGATGAGATTTGACTTCTAATTTTTATTGTAATTTCTACATATTTAATTGTAATTTTTCATAATCTAATTTTTATATTAATTGTTAAAATAATTTTAATTAAATATTGATTGTAAATTATATTTTTAATGTAATTTTATATAATTGTAAATTTTATTGTTAAACATTTTAATTGTATTTTTGCATAAATTATTCAACACAATTTGTATTGTTCAGAATTAAATAAATAAATATGTTTATTACTAAGAAACATTCTTATTAATCGCATCGACTTTTAGACAGCTGTCGCATTTAATTTACTTAATCGCATTTAATATTATTATCATATCGCTCCGTAAATATTTAAATCGGTTCGATTTAATTTACCTAGTGGGTAGAAATAACCGCCGCGCCTCGCCGCCAGCCATTGTGCAGTTTATCTAAGTACCGTATCGCACCTTTTTCTTAGTTTGGTACATATGCAGCGCATATTAAAACTGATTTGAATTTCTAGTGGAGTTCGCAAACCCTGTATACTATAAATACAGTTAAATTACTTAAATACTTATTAACTAACCTGCTCATTTATATTTCTTCAATCACGCATGAAAATTTATTTACATTTAATTCGTAAAAACAAGGATAATTTACTCACTTTGGGGTAATATAATCGTGTTCTAATAAAAATATTTACAATGACGGAAAAGGGTGCAGGAAAAGATAGACGCCTTATGCAAATTAAATTGTTAGAAGCTAAGCGTCAATTGTATTTCTCTCAAATAAATAAGACCTTTCAACTATCATCGAAAACAGATGAAAAATCACGGTATAATTTCTTATCACAAGCTCGCGCCGTCGATCAATTACGTAAAGAGTTTGTAACTTTGGTTGATGATATAAATTTATTAAATTTGGAAGTAGATCCCGATTATAGTATTAATTACCTGCCGTTATCAGCTTTTGACGACTTATATTATTTTATTAAGGATATCCTGAATAGTATGGAGAGACCAAACCCACAATCGCAAGCCGTCACACATGCAATTAATCAGGAACATACTATTAAGATTCCTCGTATTGAATTGCCTATTTTCGATGGTGAATTACAAAACTTTCCTTATTTTTACGAAACGTTTAAACGTGTTATACACGAAAATAAAACGTTAACGGATTCGGAACGTATTCACTATTTAATGAGCCACCTTTCCGGAAAAGCAAAACATATATGTGCTGGTATAATCCCGGCGGCAGATAATTACGTAATTATTTGGCAAACTTTACAAAACAAATACAAGGATAACAGAGCTTTAGCTACGACATATCTAAATCAGTTATTTGCATTAAAGAATATTAACGGTCCCTCTGCAATAAATTTAGAAAATTTGGTAGATAAATACGCGGCCACGATCGCAGCACTCAAACAACTTAATATAGATAATTTAAGTGACTTTATTTTTGTTTACATGGGCCTAAAGCTTGTAGATTCCGATACTGCGAAGTGTTTCGAAACAACAGTTCGTAGTCAAACGGACATGCCTAAATACGACGATTTTGTTAAGTTCTTACGAGAACAGGTAAAAATTTTGTATCGAACCAGCACTTCATCACAAACTCGTGGCAGTTCCATGGCCCCGCATCCCAACTCGGGTAGTCGCCCATCTAGCTCACGGGCTTTAACCGTGCCGCCACGCGTCTTAGTCTCCACGCAGCAGACCCAAGGTCGTACTAGGCCATGTAAGCTTTGCAACAACACGGCGCATACGCATCTCTATGCATGTAATCCCTTTGCTAACCTTTCGGCTGCCGACAAATTTAAATTCGTTAAGGACAATCGTTACTGCGTTAATTGTTTGAGTAACCAACATACCTCTTTTTATTGCAACTCAAACACTTCTTATCGCAAGTGTAATGCCAGGCATCACACGTTGCTTCATTTTGGAAATGAACCATTTGCGGCGCAGTCTTGCACCGCCACTGTAGCCGTGAACGAGGAACATGATACTAGTGAAATACTGAGCTCACTAGAACTTGAAGAAGAGTCCTCCTCCGATCAAGTGCGTGACGGTTATTTGGTTGGAGAAGGAAATCCAGAAGTGTCGTATTGCTCGTTGTCTTCTACAAAATGCGATTCATCATCAACAACGCAAGTTCTCGCAACCGCAAAGGTTTATGCCACCGGTCGCGATGGTCGCGATGTAATAGTTAGATGTTTACTGGATCCTGGTTCCCAGAAACATTATATAACAACAAAATGTTGTTCAAAACTACAGCTAAAGGTCGAATCTAATACGCCTGTAACGGTGAAGGGAATAGGTGGCTCATCACAGATAGTCAAGGGGGCGGCAAATATTTCTTTTCGATCTCGATTCAATAATACAAAATTTAATATTCAGGCTCTAGTGTTAAATCGAATCACTAGTAATATACCAACGTGTAATATCGATACTAGATTCCTTGAAAATCTACGTAGTATTCCCATGGCGGACGATGGCTGGGGTATGCCAGGAGAAATAGATTTATTAATCGGTGTTAGTCTTTTTGCAGAGATGCTACGACCTGGTAAAATTATCGGGGAACCCGGTTCTCCGGATGCGCTTGAGACTGTTTTAGGATACATCGTTCTAGGAGATGCTCCAGCGGTTATCCAGGCTCAAGCCCCAGCAGTCGTAGCTTTTCATGCTATTTCAACATCTGAGGTCGAGACTCTAGTTAGGAAAATGTGGGAACTCGACGAAATTGATCCTAAGCATATCTTTAGTGCTGATGATAAAATATGCGAAGAAAATTATAGCAAGACTGTCACGCGTGCTACTTCCGGACGCTACGAAGTAGCATTACCTTTCAAATTCAGTCCAGATCTTCTTGGTAATTCTTTGGAAGTTGCTGGGCGTAGATTTTTGCATTTAGAGCGTAGGTTTACTGCTCAGCCCGCTCTAAGAGAGGCGTACGATAGTGTAATCAAGGATTATATATATCAAGGTTATTTGTCTCCTATTGATACAGCCGATAAAGATCCTCTGCACTTTTACATGCCCCACCACGCTGTTCTTAGGGAAGATAAATTATCGACACGGATTCGACCTGTCCTGGATGCAAGTGCTAAGTCTAGTAGCGGATTTTCTTTAAATGATCTTTTATATGCCGGTCCCAATTCAAAAAAATTCAACGCGACCTTTTTACAATACTAATGAATATGAGACTATTACCTGTTGCCATCACAGCTGACGTGAGGCAGATGTATCTTAGGATAGGCGTCCGTAAGCAGGATCGACGTTTTCAGCGTATCTTATATCGCTTCAGTCGGAATGACAATTTAGGAGGTGGTTCAGATATTCAAATTCCAATAAAATCATTAGAATTCAATAGAGTAGCCTTTGGACTAAAGTGTAGCCCATTTTTAGCTCTTCGCACTGTCTCGCAACTAGTACAGGATGAGGGTCACCGTTTTCCTATAGGTAAAGAAGTCGTGCAGAGAGATCTTTACATGGACGATATAGCTAGCTCACTGATGAATTCCGATCGAGCTATTTCTGCCTTTCAAGAGTTAATCGGGCTATTTAAGGCTGGGGGCTTCGATCTAGTCAAATGGAGTAGCAATAGCACAAGGGTACTTGAATATATTCCTGAAGATTATCGCTTGTCGCAAAATGTCGAATTTCACAAGGACGATACCTTGAAAATATTAGGTCTTTACTGGCGTCCTCATGATGATGAGTTCGCCTTCAAGGTAATTTCAGATGATCGCCCTTGCACTAAGAGAAACATTTTGTACTCTGTCGCACGTTTGTTTGATGTTTTGGGCCTGGTAGCACCTGTAATTTTGTATGCCAAGCTTTTAATCAAGGAGCTTTGGATTGCTAAAATAGACTGGGACGCTGATCCCCCACAACGAATTACACGACTGTGGAATGAATTCCGACGGGAACTTCCCCTGCTTGCCCAGATGAAATTTCCTCGGCACCTTGGAGTGGTTCATGGCTGTTCGGTGACAATTCTGGGTTTCGCTGACGCGAGTGAAAAGGCTTATGGCGCCGCAGTTTATATTCGAGTAGACGTCAAACAAATTCAGACAACTGTCATTTTGTCATGCGCAAAGTCAAAGGTTGCGCCCTTGAAGGTTGTATCATTAGCACGTCTGGAATTATGTGCAGCCTTGTTGCTTTCTAAATTAATAAAAAAGGTTTTTGAAATATATTCGAGTAGATACCCAATTGATTCGGTGTTAGCATTTTCAGACTCGACCGTAGTGTTAAACTGGATTCACTCTTCTCCGCACCGATGGCACACGTTTGTTGCCAATAGAGTCTCCAAAATCCAGGACAACTTACCATCGTCATCATCATCATTCTCTAAACCATTTCCCATTATCTGGGGTCGGCGCAGTAAATCTTTTTGTTCCATTCCTCTCTATCAGCCGTCATTTCCATACTTACTCCTTTCATTCTCATATCACTCTTCACACAATCGATCCATCTTTTATTCGGCCTTCCTCTGCCCGTGTGTCCCTCCACATTCATATTCAACACTCGTTTTGTGACATGACTTTCATTCCTCCGCATCACGTGCCCAAACCATGCCAATCTGCTTCCTCTCACCTTTTCTACCACTGGCGCTACTTTCAGGCTTCCTCTTATATACTCATTCCTTATCTTATCCATCCTTGTCACACCACACATCCATCGTAACATTCTCATTTCATTCGCATGCAGTCTATTTTCATCCTTCTTCTTGACGGCCCAGCACTCACTTCCATACATGACGACAGGTCGGATGATCGATTTGTAAATTTTCCCCTTCAGCCTTATTGGCATTCGGGGATCGCACGTTGTGGCTGTGACCTGTCGCCATTTCATCCACCCTGCGTTAATCCTATGCTGCACAGCTCTATCTATTCCGCCGTCGCCTTGAATGAGGGAACCGAGGTACTTGACATCTGAGCAGATAGGCAGTATAGCGCCATCCAACGACATGGGTACAGGACTGGAAAGACCGCCGAAATCACAGCACAGATATTCGGTTTTGGATCTGCTGATCTTCAAGCCAACACTTTCCAGCCTCCGTTGCCACCCCGTCAGTCTGCTCTGTACCTCGATGCCTTCTTCCCCGACAAGCACGATGTCATCGGCAAAGAGCATGCACCAGGGTGCCTCATCCTGCAGGTCCGACGTCAAAGCGTCCATAATCAGTAGGAAGAGGTAAGGGCTCAGTGCCGACCCTTGGTGAAGCCCTACCGCCACATCGATACTGCCCGTAGTTCCCGCGGCAGATCGTACACATGTACGGGATGCTCTGTACATAGCACGGACCAACCTCACATACTTCCCAGGCATACCTTTCATCTTCAACGCCCACCACAAGACCTCACGGGGAACCCGATCGTACGCCTTTTCAAGGTCGACAAAAACCATGTGCAGATCTTTATGCACGCGCTTGTACTTTTCGCACAATTGGCGTAATGCGAAAATGGCATCTGTCGTACCTCGACCGGGCATGAATCCGAACTGGTTTTGTGTTATCTCACACTCTTCTCTCATTCTTCTCTCTATTATTCTTTCCCAGACTTTTATCGTATGTGACATGAGCTTTATTCCCCGGTAACTGCTGCAGTTTTGAACGTCTCCTTTGTTTTTAAAAATGGGAACCAGTATACTACTGCACCATTCCTCAGGTATTTGTTCTTCCTGCAACAATTTACCGAAAAATAAACTCAACCACTTCCATCCATCCGCCCTCAGCAACTTCCACACTTCTACTGGTATTCCATCTGGGCCGACCGCCTTCCCATTCTTCATATTCGTAACAGCCATTTTTACTTCTTCCACACTAATTTCTCTCACTAAGCCCATATTCACTGGTGGGTTTTCAAGCATACCATTCCATTCATTCTCCTCATTCATCAATTTCTCAAAATACTCCTTCCATCGCTTCTTTATACTTTCATCGTCAGTCAAAATCCTTCCAGAATCATCTTTTATACATTTTACATGTGAAACATCTCTTCCATTCCTTTCTCTCGCTCTTGCAATTTGAAAAAGTCGTTTTTGACCTTCGGGGCTTTCAAGGGACCGATATAATTTATCGTGCGCCTCTGCCCTACAAATAGCAACTTCCTTCTTCGCTCTCTTCTTCCATTCTTTATACGCCCCTCTCTTACTTTCTTTTATGGATTCATTCTGGTCTTCTACGCTCTGCCATTCTTTAAAGGCATTTTTCTTTTCTCTCAAAACTTCTCTAATACTTTCACTCCACCACCACCCATCCTTATCTATCATACGCTTCCCTTTTGTTTCTCCTAACACCTTCCTTGCCACACTTCGGATACAATCAGCCATTACCTTCCAGCACTCATTCACACTCATTCCTTCCATATCACCCATCTCTATCATCTTGTTTACAACTAGCTCTCTAAATTCACTTGCATACCCCTCCTTATGCAACAAATGCCACTTTATTTTGGGTGGGGGACGATCCTTATGTTTGTTGAGGCGAACAGTTAAGCAGATGTCAGCCAGCAGGATTCGGTGCTGGGATACTAAGTCTTCACCTGGAAGCACTTTGCAGTTTTTTACACTCTTGATTTGGTTCCGTCTTATCAGAAGATAGTCGATCTGTGTCGCGTGGTGGCCACTTTTATAAGTAGCAAGATGCTGATCTCGTTTTTGGAACCACGTGTTTACTACAGCCAGGTCGAAAGCACATGCTGCTTGCAGAAGAACTTCCCCCTCACGGTTCCGCACTCCGTACCCCCATCCACCGTGTACTCTTTCATACCCGTCATTCACTCTCCCTACATGTCCATTAAAATCTCCTCCCATATAAACATCCTCACGCTCAGGTATTCCCATCATCATACAATCAAATTCCTCCCAAAACTTCTCTTTCACACTCTCTTCACAGCCTGTTTGCGGAGCGTACACACTTACAACATTCACTACTTTGTTTTCAATCATTAATTTAACAACTATCATTCTGTCATTTACTCTTTTCACATCTGTCACTCGTTCTTTCATTCCACTATCTAACACAACTCCTACTCCATTTCGCTTCCCATCACTTCCACAATAATAAAACTTGTATCCCTCCCCAATCTCTCTTGCTTTATTGCCCTTCCATTTTGTTTCCTGCAAACAGGCAACATTCACTCTTCGTCGTTTCAAAACATCTGCTAACTCTCTTCCTCTTCCAGTCATCGTACCTATATTCCAGCTTGCAAACCTCACTCTGACATTCTTCTCTCTCCGGGCTCGCCTCTTACGTCGCACCCGCTCCGTAAGGTGCGACAACCCTTGCCCACTTCCCACAGGAGCCGGGTGCTGCCCCTGCGCGTCGCCTGCGGGGTACGCCCTAGCCCTGTCATATGTCCCACAACTCGTACTATTCATTTACTGCATGGGATTTGGCAAAAGTTTTACAGTCGGCCGCCTGCCTGACACCAACCCTCTTTGGGTATGCTATTGCTGGTAGAGGAAGCTACCATTTTGGGAAAAGGATAAAGAAGTTTGGGGGTAGGAGCATAGGTGTAAGGATACTGTTATCTCGGCAGGAAAGGTATGAGAATAACAGTAGCTCGGGGAGCCGGGGTCGCGTACCCGTATTCCATAACAGGATCACCGGAAAGGTAGACCAGCATGAAAACCCCCTGACTTCTCCAGGACAACTTACCATCGGATCACTTTTACCACATCAAGGGTAACGAAAACCCGTGCGATTGTTTGTCCCGTGGATTAACTCCTACACAACTTATGAATCACCCCCTGTGGCTACAGGGGCCTCCTTGGGCCCATTTACAAAAAACCGAATGGCCAATAAAAACATTTGTGCCAAAGGAATCTTCCGACGCGCCGGAGCTTAAGTCTATTTCCCTAGTAATAATAAAACCAATCGAAGAACCTTTTCTTTATAAGCTAGCACGTAATTACTCTTCGTGGCAACGGTTCCTTAACGTGGCAAGCTACATATACAAGTTTATAAGGAAGCTACCTCTGGGACCCATAGTTGAGTCAGATTTGGAATTTACGGAATTAGAAATTATGAAGGTAATACAGTCAATACATTTTAGTGATGACCTTCAACGTTTAGAGAAAGGGGGATGTCGTTCTCCATCTATTAAAAAATTAAACCCATTTCTTAAGGATGGCGTATTACGCGTAGGTGGCCGTTTGGCAAACTCAGAGGAGAGTTTTGATTTTAAACATCCTATTCTCCTTCCTTGTAAGGATCATGTAGTAGACTTGCTCATACGCTCATACCACTGCAAATATTTACATACAGGACCAGGGTTGCTATCTTCTGTACTCCGTGTTAAATACTGGATACTATCTGCTAGACGTGCAATTAGAGCCATTATATCTAAATGCAACGTATGTTTTCGATCTAAGCCTCAACCTGGGTTCCCTATGATGGCTGACCTCCCTGAACCTCGAGTGAGAGCGGTTGTCAAAGCCTTCGTCCATACTGGATGCGATTATGCCGGCCTAGTCCTAGTAACACCATATCGTGGTAAGGGTATAAAAAGCCGTAAGGCTTACATCTGCCTGTTTACATGCCTTACTACACGAGCGGTGCATATTGAGCTCGCAAGCGATCTCAGCACAGCTTGCTTCTTGGCAGCCATGAAACGATTCCTAGCTAGACGGGGATCGGTTCAATGTTTTTATACCGATAACGGAACTAATTTTATTGGTGCCCGATCTTATCTTCGCGATTTGTACGCTTTTCTAAAGAATGAATATAAACCAGTGTGGGAAAAGCAGTTAGCAGAAAGTCGTATCCAATGGAAACTGATTCCTCCTAATGCTCCACACTTCGGTGGTTGCTGGGAAAGTAACATCAAGTGCATAAAAACCCATTTATATAGGGTCATCGGCCAACAAATTCTAACCTTTGAGGAGCTTCAAACAGTTTTAAGCCAGATTGAATCCATATTGAATTCACGACCACTTACAGTTCTCAGCTCTGATCCTTCAGATCCAGCAGCTTTGACGCCAGCTCATTTTTTACATACCGTCCCGCTTGATTTCCTGCCAGCACCTGATATCGATGATTCAATTCCGCATCTTCTAACTCGATATGAACTCTTAGACAAGTTGGTACAGTCATTCTGGATGCGATGGAGGAGAGAATATCTTCATAGCCTACAAGCCCGCCAGAAGTGGAACTCACCATCCTTCCCAGTTAAGGAAGGAACGGTTGTTGTAGTAATACAGGATAACATCACGCCCTTACATTGGCCCTTAGGCATTACAATAACACAAACCTTTAAAGGTAAGGACGACGTTATACGTGTAGCAATGGTAAGGACTAAGCACGGTACTTACCAAAGACCAGTGGTTAAATTGTGTCCATTACCAACTCAGTAAAATTCACAAATTATTTAGGTAAAGGGTAGATTAGCCTCTAGATAATAAGTCATAGATAAGTTAGTGGGATTAAGTAGATATAAGTAGTTAACAAACATTCTTTAGTATGTTGTAATAAGGTTCATAGAAGTGAGAATAAATTAATTTGGTCGATAAAGATGATTACACCTTTGAAAGCTTCCCTTTCAAGGCCGGGAGGAATGGTTCGGCTAGTTTAACAAGCAGCCGAAATTTCTTTGTTTATTTTGCTCTGAATACTCGCAATTGTTACACCAATGTTACTATGGTTTGGATGTCCGTGTATTTCGCGGGTCGATGTGATTCTTGCGTACTATTGGTCCGTTAAAATTATGGACATCTTCCCGTCACGTGATCACATACTGTCAACGCCGCGCGTCGTGAGAAATGGCACGTTTTTTCGCTGCTCCCTAATATATGTTCCGCCGCAAGTTATTCCTCGAATTGGATAATCGTGAGTGACCGAAATCCGTGTAGCTGGGATCCCCGAAGAAGCGCACGAGAGCAGGAGCATCCGCCTTCGTATATTCAGGTACGTCCGACCTTAGTAATATTGTCTAGTTAACGGTATCGAGTAGAATCAGCCAGCGTCTATGCAAATTACAGTCCATTTACCATTTTCAACCACATTAAAAGTCAGTAAAGTTCACTAACTTTACTGAGTTTTAGTGTGATATTCAAGGAAACAGTTCTTAGGATGTAAATGAATCTTACACTTTTGGCAAATAAAAAAACTTTTAACTTTGCAAACTTTGCATCTTAGTTGGGGAGCGCTGTACTGGACCAAGTGATCAACCCAATCATATCGAGATGATTCAAGATGAGATCTACCTGTGGGACATGGTCCCCTCTTATCGCTTTTTTTGTAGCTTTCGAGCAAACCTTTCGCCAGTAGTCTACGAAAAGTGAGATGATCATGTTCTCCACCGTCTCGCTTGTAAAGTTGCCTTGCATTATGCACAGCCATATCTAAGGTGTGACAAAACAGTGAAAAATACCATTTCTTGCCACGAATAGAAGTCCGATACAACCCTATGTTTTGATCGGATCTATCAACCCCTCGCATATTTTCATTGTATTTTCTTATAACCGACGGTTGGTCAATATGTACAAATCTTTTTAGTTCTTGCGAAAATCTCTTGACTTTTTGCAGGGGCTCCACAGTTTCAGTATTCGATGCAACAGTAACGACACTATTGTCATTCCACTTGCAAACCAAAATATTGGTAGGCAAACTGGATTTGAATACAAATGAACCTCTATCAGTATTTTTGAAATCTTTGTTAGACTCGAGAGGACACTTGGACGTTCTGTTTTCACGAATAGTTCCAGTGGCTCTTAGACCTCTATTACTAAGTTCATGCAGTAGAGGAATAGAGGAAAAATAATTGTCGAAGAATAAATGAAATGGCAATGTTGGATCACGACCTTATAGAACATCAGCAAACTCCAAAATCACACTCCCACCTAGACCAAACTGTTTGTAACCTTCTGCAATGGTTGAAGATTTCCACTCCAAGGGAACTCTCACCAAGGTCCCTGGGACCAAGGGACACTTGGACCCTGGTTAGGATCAAACCAAATCACGTAGCCTAATCTTGTAGCACCAACCCACAGATTATACCCCCAACGAATTGGTTTGCCACGTATAAACTGTTTGCAACTGTGACGTCCATAGTAACGAACCATAGCCTCATCTATGCTGTAGTTCTCTTCTAGCGGAGCAATTTCAGTAAAGATTTTATTTAACTCGTCAAACAGAGGTCTCAACTTAGCGAATTTGTCAGGAGAATCACCAAGAACTGTATTATCACAGCAGTGGAGATTTGACATAATAAAAGTAAAACGATCTCTTGACATAGCGTTGTGCACAATCCTAAAGTCGGCATCTGTCGATGTCTCCCAATACATAAACCTACGGGGTACTACTACATACCCGCTGTACATAAGGATGCCCAAGAAACACTTCATTTCAGAAACAGTTACTTTGCCCACTTTATTCCTCTGTCCTGCATACAAATTGGTATATCGCACTAGTAATTCAATAACATTGTTGTTGAACAAGCAGTCGAAATAATATAAGGGTGATTGTAAGTTTTTTGGACCTTGTTCGTCATTCCATTGATTGAAATGGTTTGGAATATGACGATTCTTCCATCTATAGGTTTGGTTTCGGGGAACTGTAGGCTGAACAAATGTAGAATTAGTTGACACATCTGAAGTACAAGAAGGTACGGCGTCACTATCTTCTAAAGTCAAATCCATCGTGCGTCTTCTTTTTGACAAACTTGACAAAGGTACATCATCTTCTTCGTCGGAACTCATATGAAAAGTGACCTCGGCTGGAGCTCGTAGTTGAGAGCCTATAAAAAACAGATATAAATATTGCAACCATATCAATAAAACAAGATAGAATCATTGATAAGTAGTTATATCAACCCGAAAACAAATATTTTACCTGGTAGATTTTGCAATGCAACAAATTCTTCATCTCCAGAATCTTCATCTGTGACGTCGGCATTAGCGTTCTCAGGTGGAAAAATTGTAATTTGAGTTGGCAACAAATCATCATCCTCACATCGCTCTAATTCATCAACTATATCGTTGAGAGTGAGTGCTCTCAAAGGTCGCGTGCTAAAAAGAAAACAAAAATATTATAGACCCCCATATTGCGACGGGACTTTTAAAAGGCCATCAATTTGAAACGTGAAAAAGGAATGAGTTTTTGTTGCACCAAAACAAATAGATAACCTGATATTGTAGATAATATATCTAAAATTAAATATCAAAATGTATTAGCAACAACATCCAGATATATAAATGATAAAAGCTTACCTTTGTCCAGACATCATGACACTAATACTCCTAAGTATTCAATGACACAAAAACTTTAAATAAACAAGTGTCCAGTTGTAAACAACACCGCATGAAATCATACACGGATAGGTACTAAGTAACCTGACAGTGCAAATATCTTAGAGAATTCATTTTAACAATTCGAAACTTGAGGGTATTTTTAATAATTTTTTCGGGTCTTTTAAAAGCCCCGTCGCAATATCTGGGTTAAATAAATAATGATAAAGTGTGTGAAATAGAGTAATAGTGTTAAAAAGGAATAGTAATCAAAGTGTTTCCCAAGATATATTGTGGACAATGATACATCTGGACTGATAATCTTAAAAAAGAGTGAATAAATACATAGCATGTGCAAAAACATTTTACAGTTAATTTCGTTATTTTGTGTTCGATCGGTGCAATTTAAAATGTATATTATATAAAAGACGGAATAATATAAATAAGTGTAACTCTGGACAAAGTGATAACAGTGGAATAAAATTTGATCAATAACATTACCTAACAAAAACCTTTATTAATTACTAAAATATAATTTCCAAGCCAAGTGGGGCCATCTGCTGCGAGGTTAAGATACTATTAAGGCAGTCAATAACGACTAACTAACGTTTTGCAATATTAGGGAAACCTACGCCATCTATGGTAATATCAGCGAATTAAGATATACTTGAAAAACTTTATCAATCGATTGCAATATAGGGCTTTAAGAACAGTACAAAAATACAACAAAGGGCGCTATACGTAAGTAACAAAATAAGAAACGGTAAAAAAAATTAAAAATAAAGAAATAAATAATGGAAGATCTTCAAAATATTTTACTAGAATTAAAGAATGATTTTGAAAAAAAATTTATTTCAAAAATGGAAAACCAAATTACTACAAAAATATCAAAACATCTGGATGAAAAATTTCATACGATTTAGAAAGAGTTGGGAAATATTCGAATAAAAGTGGAAGAGCAAGAAAAAAGGTTAGATGCGCTAGAAAAGAGCAATGTACAGAGAAACCTCGTATTTTTTGGAGTCGAAGAGACTAAAAAATCTTATTATGATCTTCAAGAAAAAATTATAGACATAATAAAAACCACATAAAAGTTGAAATACAAGAAAGTCAGCTACAAGCATTAAGAAGATTCGGAAAAAAAGGACATAAAACTAGACCTATCTCTGCAACGTTTACTACATTAGGAAAGAAAATTAGTATTTTGAAAAATAAGAATAAATTAAAAAATACAAGCGTATACATAAAGAAATTCCCTGCAAAACTTTTGAAAATAAGAGAGGAACTAAAAATTCAATAACAAAAAGAAAATGAAAAGGGTAATAAAGCATACATCAAATACGATAAACTTGTTGTTAAGGAAAATTATAAAGATACAAGTAATAACAAGAGGATCTATATCTCACCCAAAAATGTCACAAAATACTGCTACTACAGAGGCGCCAATAATTAATAACAAAAAACAAACACAAATAAATAAAACGCACAAAGTCAATAAGAACACAAAGACGTCTTATATAACCATAAACGAAGATGTATGACTCTATGAAGCACCCTGCAACAGCATTCAAGAAAATAGTAATAATAACTTAAATTATTTAAACACTCCCTCAGTAAGGATGGTCGCCGCGAGGAAGTTAGACCAAAACCCTCCACCTCAAGCTCAAAAATATATTAATCTGCACCACCTCACATACAACGTAAGATCGCTTGTGGATAGCACGAGACTACCACAACTAGAACACAGTTTAAGAAATATAAAATGGGATGTTATAGGACTGTCAGAGATAAAAAAAGCCGGTCAACAGATAGAAAAACATGAAAACTTTGTACTCCTGTACTGTGGCGAACAAAACGGAAAAAATGGTGTCGGTATCTTAATACAAAATCACTTGAAAAAATATATTGACAACTTTAGTTTTTATACAGACAGAATAGTCCGTCTAGACATGAGCTTTAACAATAATTATATAACCTTCATACAAATATATGCACCAACAGAAAAAGCATCACAATCAGAAATAGAAAACTTCTATAATGACTTAAGAAAGGCAATGAATGACACCAACAAGGATACTTTTATCGTAGGTGATTTTAACGCTAAGATTGGTTTGCCAAGAGAAGAAGAA